GGCAAAGTGGACCCTTCCATCCTTTCCCAGTACTTTGGAGTGATTCCTTTCTCAGTACTTTGGGTCATGCTCTTCTTTCCCAGAAGCCTCAGGGCAAGGGGCTCCCAGAAATTGACATGGGTAACATGGGCACAGCTCTTGCTGCTGTCTGTGAAAATGATGCTTAATGGAGTCAAGGAACATTTAATCACAGGTTCCAAATCTTCCAGGGACAAGTGTGAGTCATCTTTCGCAATCTGTGATTAAAATGGCTGATTAAAATGGATCCTTCAAATTCCTGTTTTATTATAATCAAAAGTAGTTCTGTGGCCTCAGAGCCTAAGTTTGCATTTTGAGCTTCAGGATGCTGCTTGATATTTGCTTCTTCAACCAGCTCTTTTCCTGCGTTTAGCACAGTGACTTTTATTTGGAGAATCCAGGGTGGATTTCATAGGGAAAAGAATAGGGCCCATTGTCATGGAAGATTAATCTAAAAAATGCTAAAGTACCTCTTTATTAAAACAAAGTCTGAAACTCTAGGTGAGCAGGTTAGAGGAAGAAGGGAACAAGGAGAGAGGATTGCAGCATTTAGTGAGGCTTCAGAAACATCCTCATCAGAAGTGGAAACGCTTATTTTGTTTTTTTCCAAGGTGATGAAGAAGCTGGAATTGCCAGCCTTCTGCATGCCTTGTGGATGGTTCTGTGTTCTTACCTTTGTTGCATCAGGGTTTGGCCAGGAGGATGCCAAAGGAGTTCCCAGAGTGGGCCTCACTGATACTGGGGTCAGTTTCTGGGGACTGGTTGTGTGGAGCACCTCTAGGAATCCCTCAGCTCTCCATGCTGCCTGGAGCCCAGGGCATTGGTATTTTTGGAAGTTTCCCAGTTGACTCTGATGGACATCTGTAGGTGAGGACACCTGGGTCTGTGCCATAGCAGTTCCCAGGCCTTCTGCTCTGTTTTTATTAGGATGTTTCCTCCAAAAAAGGATCTTTTCCTCTCCATCCTCTCAGACAGCTTTTTGCTCTGGTAGAGTCTTGCCCCCGATCCTTCCCTCTCTGCAAATCTGCTCTGCAAAGAGGTGAAGCCATGGACATGGGGATGTAAGGACCGGAACACTGGAACACACATAGCCCTGTGGATCCATGCCTTTGCCCTGTGGATCCAGAACCAGCCCTTCCCCAAAAAGTAAAAAACAAAATCCTAATCACAAAAAAGGAATTCTGATCCTAGATACCAGAGGTCCTCTTCAATTTCTCGCAGCACTACTGGTAGGAAGTGAAACAAAATAGGAGGTTCCAGGGGATTTGTGCTTCAAAATTTACATAAAAATTTTGCCTTGTTCTTGCATATTAGAGCTTACTCTGTGGGGGTGAGGGTGGAGGTGGGGTGGGGATGGAGGTGGGGCCTCTTTCTGCAGCCAGCCTTTCTCATCCTTTCCTTTGGACCTGACCTGGCCTCTCCAGTGTCTGGAGTGGTGTAAACATTTAGCTATTGTGTGTGCCTCCTCTCCATTTGCTCTGGATCCTTTCCCTCCTCCTCAGCCCTGCCTTCATCACTCTCCCAGCCATTCTCTATTCCTGGGGAAACCAGCCCAGGAAGCTGGGGTTCAGGCAGATCATTTTCATTTTCATTTGTTAACATTGGTGTTTCCCATTTCAGACACGCCCCCCTCCCGCCCCGCCCGCCAAAATGCAAACCTTCAAATAATTAGTATGAGAGAAGAGTTTTTTTTTTTTTTTTAACTACTAGTGTCTCAGCATTCCTTGAAAATACAGTTCTTGTGTCTTTTATTTTAAAACACAACTGGTTAATAGACAAATTAAGACTTAGACTTATGTCTTCTGGAGCTAGTGTTGTCTGAGGCAGAGCACCACAGAACATAGAATTCCTACTGAAAGACATTTTCTTTATGAAATTTACTGTGTGAATATGAAAGATTGTGTTGAACCTGCGCTCAAAGGTTTCTTAGTGGCAGTATTTCAACTGATCTTTATAGTCTGCACTTTCCTGAGTAAAGTTGCCACATAGATGTAAAAATTGTCTTCTGCTCCCAGATCCAGACATCCACCCCATGATGTATTTCTGTCCTTCTATCATAGATAATTAATAGTCTTGGTTTGGTTTATTTATTTGAAAGTAAAAGATTAAGAACTGGGATAGAGTTAGGAGCTTGTTGTCACAGTGGGGTGAACAGATAAAGAGCCACTCAGTGAGAGTTGTAGCAGTGGCCACGGACAGGAAGGGACATATAGGAGGTTCTTGCAGGGGTGCTGTCATCAGGCCTGTGCTGACTTTGACCTGGGGACAAGAAGGGACAATGAGTGTATTCTTCTCCTGGGACACAGAGAGGGTAGTGTGCAGTGTCTTTGGGAGTGATATTGAAATAAGACTGCATGAGTTTGAAGGCCTAATGTGTTGAAGGGGCAGAAAGAGCTGGGAGGCAAACCACAGCAGGGACAGCAGGCAAATGGAGATCCTTCACAGGGAGAGGAGAAGTGCCTGGCTGCAGGGACACACAAGGAATTGCTGTGAAGAAGGTGGGTATTTGGGCTACAGTGAGGCATATAAATGGGAGGGTTACAGGTAAAGGAAGAGTGCCAAGAACAAGTGGCTGAGGAAGGTCATACCTATAGGTGACAGAAGTGCAGGCAGAGATTCCAGATGGAATTAGCTTCACCAGAGAAATGAGCGCAGTACGTGAACTAGGTGGGTCAGTGACACTCTTAAAAATAAATATCTAAATAAAATAAGTTTTATGAGGAGTTGGAATTCTAAGATCATTGAAGCATTTAGGTATTTTGGGAATTGTATTTGATTATCAAACTATTTAGGCAAGTTAACTACTTTCAAATAAGTAAAATTAGTGTGTCTCTCTGGTGAAATTTGTCATTCATTTTTAGTATCTTAATTTTAAATGCCAGCTAGATCTAGCCACTATAAATATGCAGCAGATGTAGCTGCCTAGCCACTGAGACAGGCAGGAGCTGACAATCCAGGAGTAGTTTTCAGTTTGAAAGCAGAAGCCAATGTTGGAAGGTAAGTTAGCCCCAGGTCCTTATTACCTAATGACTTATTACAATTCTCAGGAATGCCATTGTAGATTTGGGTTTCTGCTTTGATAAATGGGGAATTTTAAGTAGTGGTATCTCCTATGTCATTATCTTAGTAATGTATGTTAGGAAGCTAGAATGTATGTTAAAAACTTACAAAGAGTATATAGGTTTATAAATTTTGAGGTGGCTTTTCAGAAATGAGAATGTTGTTTTTGTCCTCAGTGTGTCATCCTTGTTGTTTGTATGGTGTTCCATAGGTGAAAGGTCAAACACCACTGGACCTGTGTGATGTTAAGTCCTGTGATATCTTCCTCTTTACCACAAGCTGTGGTAGACTGGGGAGTTGCCTGACCTCTCTCATGGCTTGCCTTCATTCAGCAGGGCTTGCTTTCATTCAGAAGAAGGGATACTCCCTAGCAGCAGGGTGGCTGTTGTCATTTGATTGGACTCATGCTGTTGTTTTGTCTCCAGCTTGTTTGTGTGCCCCAGGGCCTGGCCCTCTCAGGCTAGAGTACTTACCTGATTAGCTGAAAATACTTCAGATAGTGGCTTATACAGGGAGCTTGGAAAGTGTACCAGGGTTGACATTATTTTAAAAAGTAGAAACAAGGCTGGGGGTATTGCTCAGTGGTAGAGTGCTTGCCTGGCACATCTACGAAGCCCTGTGTATCCACTGGGCACTACCAAACCAAGAAGAAAAAAAAAAAGAAAAATAGCAATGGTTTCAAATTTTTAGTTACTGTAAAACCAGATTTAAGCAAGTAGAGTAATTATTTTTATTGGAATTTTTGTTGGATTATTTTCCTCCTAACACTGACCCCTGTATTGTTCCACCTCATGAGGAGGATAGTGGAGAAAGGGGTATTTTACAAAATGAGAGCCTAGCTGGGCCAGGTGACTCATGCCTGTAATTTCCTCAACAATTTAGCAAGGTCCTAAGGAACCTAGTGAGACCCAGTCTCAAAATAAAAGGAAAGCCCTGGGGATGTGGCTCAGTGGTTAATCTCCCCTGGGATCAATTCCCAAACACACAAATTGAGAGGTTACCTTTGACCCTTTTGGGGTTCATTACAAAACCCTTCTGGAAATCTTGATGTGAACAAGCTGATGAACTTTTTATTTGCAATGATTTGTTATTCAGTTTAGCTCCATAACAAACCACAGGTTGAAATTAAGAAGCCTAGGGACATGGATGTTGAAATGTAAATGAATAGGGGATATACTAAATATGGGTGTCATTTTGCAAATTTGCTTTCCTACACCCCTCCCAAAGCTGCTAAGTTGAATTATCTAAATGAAAGTGTTGCCCTCTTTGGTCCAGGTGTACATAGAGCTCAAAACCAAGTAAAATGTAGTTAACACGCTGGTGCCACCCATCTGCCTGGAATTTATTGTGCTTTCCATTTGTGAGGACTGTATTCACACACTCTGTTATTTGTGCAGAAAAGTTTGCATGCAGCCGCCTGAAAAGCGATTTCTTGTTCTCACTTAAAATGAGCGTCAATTGATCTTTAAAGCAAAATCAGAGTAAAAAAATCAGTTTATATGTGTAGCTTTGGTCAATTTCTATATTTCACTATACATTTGATTTCCATACAGAAAATGAAATATATATTATTTTGTAATTTGTCTACCTGTAACATTGTACTCACCAAATTAAAATACTTTAACAAGATCTCTCACTAGTTACTTAAAATTTCAAAAATTGTCTTTCTGTCTAATGAATTACATTAGCTCAAGAAAGCTTGTGAGGTTATACATAACTGTGGAGGGGATTTTATGTAGAAAGAAAAAAGTTAGGGAACCCTGAGACAATGAATCATATCTCCTCCTAATTTCTTATTATAAGTTCACAGATAAATTTCATGTGATGGAAATCCTCTGATGGCTTTTTCCTTAGGATTTGATACTGGATGTACATTTTCTTATATGGTTAAAAAAAAAAAATCTGCCCATCCACATGGACAGTTAATCTGTGTGGACTTTGAGCTCATCACAGCAGGGAGGAGGGAGGGTTACAGAAGGAACAAACAGCAGCCTCCCTGGCAGGAGGAGGCTGTCTGGCCCTCACTCCCCACCCTTCCTTCCTGGGCAGGTCAGGCATCCAGTACATACCAGGGCACTCTCAGGTAGTGGGAATCCACAGGTAGCTCTGGCCCTTGTGTGGTCTCTCCCTTCATGCCTTTCTGTCCATCCACATTTTGGATCTTCAGACTGACAAGTTCTGTTCCAGGACTTCAAATAACCTGCTTCATCTCTACCTGTGACCTTGCTGCAGCAAAGGTAAGACCTGCCACCATCCAGCCACTGCGTGGTGGGCTTTCTGCTCTAATCCTCTTGGTAGTTTGCCTGTTGGGCGTAGCTGGTATACTGGGGTCAGCAACTGGGGGACCAGCCCCATTATAGGGTTCTCTGGAATCCAGTTCCTCTGGTTCTTCCCTGTGTCTGCAGATTTGCTTAAACCTAACCTTGTGTTCAGTGTCCTTATACCGGGATGGGGATAAAAATGCCATACTAACCTCGAAAAAAACAATGGGAAGCTGAAACAGGTGAGCAAGCGGCTGTTGGAGGACTGAGAACATGGAAAATACCCTGAGTTTCTACTTGGTGAATTTTATTGGTTGGGGTATTAGAAGTGCTGCTGTGGGTTGTCAGACCTTGGGCTGCTGTCACATGCCCCCTTAGGAGAACATCACACTAGAAACAAGACCATGATTGATCTGCTAAGGCCCAAGCAGTCTCCTAGACATTCTGGGACTGGAAGGAAGGTAGGACTTGATTCCTACAATTTATTTATGGAACTGAATGCTTTTCGGATTTTCTGATAGTTTATTTATGGAATGTTTCATGTAGATATGAAATTTAGTTTCAATGTATGTAAAAGCAACCTTTTGTGAGTCTTTACAATGTTTTGTTTCATCCTGTACTCATTTGCTTCCACCCCACCTGGAGTGTTTTGATGTCACCAATTTAATATACATTAAAGCATCTGATTTTTTTTTTTTTGCGTCAAATGTTATTGCTTTTTAAAAATTATATTTTAAATTAGCATGTTATGGTGACTGAGCTAAGCAGACCTGCTGGAGTCTTGGCTCCATCCCTTACTGATTATGTTTTCTTTTAACAGTTCCTTAATCTAAGTCTCAGTTTCATTTTTGCAAAAACAAGATAATAGCACCTTCCCTATAGACTGTCATGAAAATGAAGCGAGGCACTATTGTTTAGGTGCCTACCTTAGCACCAAATTCATAGTTAGCATTCCACTGACAGTAACTGTCTGCCTTGCTTCCTCTGAAATGGGGATAATACTCCTTATGTCAACTACTTTTGTATAGGGATCATTATGAAATGTTTGATAGTTGCCAAAAAGGTGTTCAGTGACATTAGGATTGTGTCACCATCAGCAACACAATCCAACAGGACCGGTCTGGCTAGTTCTTTCTCCCAGGCCTTGCCTGTCAGCCCTTGAACTTGTAGTTAGGCTGGCCAGTGCTGAACCAGTGAACCCCACAGCCAACCTGGGAGCTCTTCATCTTTACAGGAATTGAAATTTCAACTAAAAGCACTGATGTGGGGTTCTGCAGTTTAAAACTAAGGGCCTTCCATCTGCTGGTCACCCACCAAATTTGTTTTATTTTGTCCACAAAGAAGAAGTTAAGAGTTACCATTATGAATATTTCTGGCCCCATCCCCAGCTTATCTGTCATTGACTCCCTTAATCTTTCAACCTCCAAATAGTCTATGAAGTCTCAATACCGTGACTAATTTGAGATCCTATTTGGTGTGGCTGGCATGGGCCATTCTCCTGGGAAGGCTGGACTGCACTGTGGGGTGTGGATTCTGTAGCAGCAGCAGGGCCTAGAGCTGTTAAGATTCCAAGCCTGAACTTGGAGAAACCTCGAAGATCAGTTCTGCCCTCCTTATCATGCTGCCCACAAGGTGAAGTGAATTGGTGACTGTGACACACATGCAGGACAGTAGAATTAGGGAATGATTGTCAGGGGCCAGATCATGCTGGGAGAGGAAGGAATTATCATTTGCCATGTTCCACTGAGCTCTCACATTCTCTAAACTACCCCCTCTGCCTCCCTCTCCCTGTCTTGGTACAGGACACCATATGCCCCAGCATCCACCCTGCAGATTCTTAGAGGCTATATTGCACTCACCATTGTAGTCCACTCTGTACCCATTTGTGCAGCCTTGGTTCTTAGGTCAGGCCCTTGCCAGCTCTTTCCTGTGCTCCTGAAAGCCTTTTCTGATTTCCTTGCTTAGAGCCTCATACTTTGTCATTGATCCCTCTACTTGCTGCCAAAAACACATTTTGAATTCTATCCCTCTGACTTTCTATGCCCTTGTTAAAACCATTCATTTGTCCCCTCTTTCTGTCATAGCATTACCTAAGAGCAGCAACCCTGGGAGCATGTTAGAGTGTGGGTTTGTGGACTGCACCACACACTTCAGCAGCTGCGTGGTGCATGCTCACAGCAGCTCTGGGCTGGAGCAGGCATTTTATCCTGTGTCCCAGTGGAGTGTAGATGACAGATGACATTCACAGTCAGGAACATCTCCCAGGGTTGTCCTCTGGAGAATTGGTGGTAATTCCATGATTCCATATGCTATCACTCTACTATTACTAAGAACATAGCTATTGAGACCTCATCGCTTCCTGACACAGTGCTGAGGTTTTTCTGCTGACCTTGTGTTCAGCTTCCTTATACTAGAATGGGAATACAGATGCCAGACTAACCTTGAAAAATCAATGAGAAGCTGAAACAAGTGAGCAGGTGGCTGCCAGAGAACTGGGGACATGGAAAAAAGATAAGAAATGACTTTCTTAGCTTGACTGACTTGGTCTCGCTTTGCTCATCCCATTGAGTGGAACTATAACTCCTCTTTCCAGATGCAACCCAAATCTCTTACCCTCCTCCCAGAAGCATCAGGCTCCTCTGAAGAGTTGGTGGTACCTCTGTGCTCTAGTGATCTTCCTTTGGGGCTCCTGGCACCCACTTCAGCCCTGCTCTGTGGGATAATGAATCCCAAGAAAGAGGGTCACCTTTGCCATCCTCAGGTCCCAGTACTTGCCCCCTCAAAGCTACTGAATAGATGCTACCCTGGCTGCTTGTCCAGTCTATCACTTCAGTGACCTTGCTTTTTTCTCCAAGCTTCGGTGTGATTAAGATAAAACATTGCCTCATGCCTTGTTGATGCCTGGGCACAGTGCTTGGCTTGACTTGGCACAGTTTCTCCAGTCCTGCCTTCTACGAATGTCCTCATGCCTGGCCCTTGCTCGCAAAGTTGTTTGCAGTCATTGTCACACTAACTCCTGAGTGCCACCGCCACGACACTGTCAATACAACCTTTATTCTACTTGCTGTTTATTCTGATGACTGTTTCTTCCTTCAGAGTTTCCCCTCTGGCCTCCTTGGTCAAGGCCTCACTTGTCATTTTGTTGTTGTTGTTGCCCTTTCCAACTGCTTTGAAGGTTTTTCTTCTTCTCACACTGGAGTTATTGGGATTCCCCAGGCTTTCTCCTTACCCAGTATCTCTTCTCATGCCTTGCATTCCTCCCAGGGGATGTGACCTCCCAAGAAGGAAGGGCTTGCTGTCAGACAGCACTTTTTGCCATGAGCCCTGGGCAAGGCATTCCTTTCAGTGGAAGGACTTGAGGTGAAGCAGCATGGGATATGGCCAGTGTAGTCTGAAATTAAGCAGGACCAGTAGAGTCATTGTTCCCAGGACTTTGACACTTTCCCACTGTCACCTCTAGCTCTGTCTCCTCACCTGTCTCTGTGCAGCTTAGGATTTACCCTTCCAACATATCTCCAAATGGTGCCACCCAGGAACCTAAACTCAGCTAAGACTGGAGTACACACACACACACACACACATTATTTTTTTTGCAGATGGACACAAATGCCTTAATTTTATTTATTTATCTTTATATGATGCTGAGGATAGAACCCAGGGCCCCACACACACGTCAGGCAAGTGCTTTACCACTGAACTACAACCCCAGTTTCAGACTGGACTTCTTATTCCACCTCCGTTTTCCCAATGTGCTTTTGGGCTTGACGAATGGGGCCCTACCACACTCTGTGGCAAGTGAGGAGGTGCATAAGTCACCCAGGTTTTCTTTCTTTATTTGGATATCAACTCTTCCACTTGATATCTTGTCACGTAGACGTGTGCTCAGTTCAGACAAAGTTGCCATTGGTGTTGTGGACTTTGGTAGTAGCTTTTCAACCATAGTCTCACCTTTGTTAATTCACAGAATAGGCAGTCATTGTGCACCTGCTTGCTACTCAACAGCATTGTACACCTGGGAATATAGCCATAAATATGACAGGCATGGTCACCCTTAACCCTGATGTGATATGTTCTAGTGGGGGATATAGTAAATATTCAAATAAATATGAAATATGGTTTCAGGAAATAATTGGATTACAAGAGAGTTACAACAACTGCTGTTTGGGGGGTTGTCTTTGTACAAGGGGCACAGTGAAGAGAGGAGTGAGCCACGCTGCTAGGGTGTGGGGCAGCAGGCAAAAGTGTCTTGAGGTATGGCTGAGCTTGGTAGGTGTGAGGAGTGGGAAGGTAGCTACTGCTGCTGCAGTCTCTGGGTTTGGGGGAGAATGGAGGTGAGCTCTAGTATGGAATTGGGTTTGAAGTTTTTCCACTTTATGAGATGCCCTCATAAAGGAAAGGCAAGGTATGCTTTGAGCACCCTCTTGTGCCTTCGGAGAAGTCATGGATAAATGTTAATGAATGACATCATTACTCTGTGTAGAGTCTTCTGTGGGTTTCTGTCCTCTCTGGGTTCTGACTTTGTTTCCTCATCCCTACATCCCTCCCCACAGGCCCAGATGCACACTGCCAGTACCCAGCCACAACATCCCTGTAATCCAAGGTGATCATGTGCTCTTGACCTTCCCCATCTTTTCTTAGAACATACTCTTCCCTCCATGTGATGCACATGACTGTCTATGTTGTTTCTTCAACCCTTATCTCAACTGGGAGTGTGTTGAGGCCAATACTCTCTTCCTGAGGTATAAAGAATCCATGTCCTTATCTTGAGCTCTGAGAGCATTTGCCTGAGCCTTTCCGTAGCACATTTGTTTATCTCTATTTCCTACAAGCAGGGAAGTTGCCCAGGGAGGGACCAGTCATCTTCATCTGTGGATATTCAAAGTCTATTCTAGAAATTGGAACACAGAAGAGAATTAGTAAATGTCTTCTAAGTGAGTGAATAAACATCATGTAGTCTTTCTCCCTTTTCATTTTCA